AAAATAGTTGGCCCACACACTGATAAAACCTCATTTCGGCAAACTTTGTTTCAGCCTTGGAACGTACTTGCTCTATTCGATGATCAACGCCGGCTAAACTATCGACTTACGTGTTGACAAGTTGATTAGGCAGGTTATTGAACTCGAAGTTCGAACCGTACCATGTCGCATCTAGCATTGCGTTTTTTCAAAGACGGGTCCCATGTACATGCGGCTAGAAGTATTTTCAATACTAAAAGAGTTTGTATACCATAAATATGCTCTGTTTTATGATTCAGTAAAGATTTCGGCAGACGATGACAGAATAAAGGCAGATGACGTCCATACCAATGCATTTATTTCGCTAGAAAGGGTTTCTAATATTTTTAATATAAAAAGTTAATAATAATATAAATATACATCATATATAAAGTTAATTATTGTGGATGGGTTTATACAGGATGTCCCAATATTTCGTGGACATAGAACAACTGCGTATTTTTGGAATTAAAATAAGCACATTGGACACAATACTCTACCTCTATACAAAAGTGCTTCGTTTGTCCACTAGAGGGTATCAAACTTTAAATAAACACATTTTTTCAGATTTTTTTAAGAATCGTTATTCCAATTCGAATGAAATTTTGGGTGTCTATGTTTTGCTAAGTGCTCAACATTTGACTTTCACAAAAATCAAGAAAAAGTACAGGAAGGGTCAAGACTACCCCCACCCCTACATAAATTTTAGTATAAATATTTTTCGACTCCACCGAAGGCCAAATTTCTTTTCGTAAAATAGTCCCTCTAGTATTTACTACATTTTTGTCACTTGTAAAAAAACGCCCCTAATAGCTAGTTAAAAGTTCGATTTGTGCAAATGAAAACTACGTATTTATAAAATAAAGCAGAGAATTTTTAATATACGTATAGACTATGGTTAATACATATAAACAAAGAGCTAAATCTAAAATTCAAGGCACAATTGTTGGATGGAACTTGTTTTATGAATATATTCATCGTACTTTCGACTGGTTTAAGATTTCTCTGGAGAATAAAAGAAACTAGTTAGATAAAACAAAGTTTTAAGGAAAGTTTTACGGTGTTGACACTATACACCTGCAAAGACATTTCGAACGGCTGTTTCAAGTTTTTATTACAAAAAGTCTTATAGAGCAAAGTTTGATAAAAGTTGGTTCTATACTTTAGTATACAATTACAATACATTTTTATTGGTTATTTTTTTATACATATTAATAAATAATACATTGTTAATATTTTTATTGAATGTTCCATTCCAAAATTGGGAATATTTTCATAAAATTTCGGTTATAAACTTGGTGCATTTCAGTTGATTTAAACATTCCGTCCGCAGCGCTCGATCGTCAAAAATCAAAAGTTTTGACTGTGTATTTCATGCAGTTCCGATTTTGATAGCATTGAAATAATATTAAAATCGTGGCTTTGTCATATTATTTAAATATTTTAGTTTTTAATAGTGCATTTATTGAAACTATAAGTACGAGGTTTGTGTGATATAACGCTGTTTCGGGTAGTAAAAATTATGTGTAAAAGAATCTGAACTGGGTGTCGCTTTGTGTTGTGACAATTTCAAATGTTAATAAAATTGTCGAAAAAATGTTAGTATGTAAAGGAGGACATAATTACGTGATTTTTGGGTGCAATAACATTCAATTACTCAACTCTCCCGGGTATTCAACCACCACCACCTCCACACAAGGCCATTCAACCTTTTCCAATATGGCGGAGATAGAAGTGCTTTATTTGGCGCGTATTTTAAACTAATAGACATTTTTTACACAAATGTCGTGTTAGATTACGTAATATTTTACTAATTTTTTAATATACAGGGACTCTAAAGTTCTCCACATAAGTATGGAATTTTTTGAATTATTACTTTTATGAAAACATCAGTTAGTTACTTATAAAAAGGTCTGCTTTCTCAGAAAATAGGTAGTGTTAAAATATTCAAACTTGAGGTAGCATATAAGGTGTTCAAAATTATCGGAAAAAGAAATAACCAGAAATATATGACAGATATAGAACTGAACATATGAAAATAGCAATATAAACTAAATATTCAATTGCAAACACTTACCTACCATAGTTTAAAATTTACTGAACGTTTGATAAAAATATACTATTATAGACAGTATAGGAAGTTACTTGTCTTAGTAAAAGCTTTGGTAAATGCTCTTGGAATTTACACTGGCTCTTGGAGCTTACACTGGCTATACTGGCTTGGATAAAAAAATATGGAATATTTTTTTCTATGTTTTGCAGCATTACACAAATGGGAGTAAAATTAGACTATAATAGGTGAGGATAACTAACAAATATAATATGTGTTTCAAGATTTTATATAGAAAAAAAAACTAAATACCTTTTTAGGGGTTTGTAAGTAGAACTTACGCTTAGCTTAGTTTTCTTTACTCTTTCTCTTTACATAGGGCATTGTCTTTGTGGTAAAAACGTCATTCTTTTTTTTGCATAGTTCTTCAATAAAACATTAGATATTCTGAACAAGATGGATTTAATAGTTTGATGTTTGATGGCCTTATTGAGGCATATTTAATGCACTTGAGTGAAATTATTTCTTTTAATAGCTGTCAACCATTTTTTATGAAGCTCGTCATTTTTGTAATGATTCAACTCTCCCAATATTTTATCTACGTCAGTGAGTTAAGAGTTTCTTAACTCACGCATTTTCATTACTGCACTTCTTGATTAGATGACTACAAAAGAGAAAAATATATTTTGTAAAACAAAATAAATGTTTTACAAAATATATTTTTCTAAATAAATAAGTACCTACTAAATACAAATAAACTGTTCTATTGATAATAATTATAAAAACATGAAAACATATTTATTATATTATTAAACTGACATAAAGTGTCAAATTCAACGAGCCCCCGTAACCATAGTTTCTCGCTATATCATTACCTACAATGTATTTTTATTTTTTTATTTTAGTTAAAAATATTTTTAAAATTCCTTGTGTGTTTTTATAGTTAGACGTAGATAAAATAAAATATTGTACAATACACGCAAGTTAACTCCATTAAGATACTTGTGTGCAACTTTCACACGCATCTTAATGATGCTGTTAACTCACTTGTATCGTAAATATCTATTGTGCTTCACAACTTCTAACACCGATTTGATCAAAAGCAAAAATGGATTCAAGCAGCTCGTCGAAACAAGTGAGTAAACAAAGTGCTCATTACATTATCAAAAAATTAATTAGGCATATACTATGATAGGATACAAAAAACATAATTTGCAATATTAATGGTATACTTGTTTTAATCAACTAGTGCTTAATTTTTTATGAACATCTTCTTAAAGTATAATTATGTACCTTTAAAAACATTCATTATTACCCAAAATGGCACCAGTTATGTCTTCGCTAGCAAAATCGGTGCGTAAAACTATGCTGCTACCGTAATTGAACTCATTTCTATTGCCTTCAATAACAAATTATAATACAAGTTAGACCTTCTGAAGATATCAAAATATTTACTTTTTTATTTTTGTTTTTAGAATTTTTACAAATTATACTTCAGAATGTTGGAATAATTATATACCTAATAATTATATACCTAATAATTATATACCTCGCTAGTTAAACCCTTGTTATACCCGTGTATTTGTATACTAAGGGCTGGCAAAGGTTAGTCTTGGGTCGAGATTTCCGTATGTAAGAAGAATACAATACGTTTATAATGTACTGAACAAAGAGAGGACAGTAAACACACGTTGCCAAACGTATAAAATAAACCGAGAAACTGTGCACATCGCTAAGAGACGTGGAAGAGGATATAGCAGATTTGTCGCAGTTGACCGGTCGACCCAGTCAATACCGCTGTCAGTACTTAAAGTTCTAGGGAAAGGTGTACGTCATGCGTTCAGCTTCACGATTTAATTACGTCTCGTGATACTTGATTTGTTTATTTATTAACGAGTCGTTGTAGTTTTCCCTATAGCTTGAATTTTTTTAAGTGCAAGCTAGAAACACTTGCATTTTTGGTAAAAATAAGTGGAATTGAGTGGGTGTTCGATAGTGGTCGCGCTATTAGAACTCTGAATTCAAAAATCGATATCTCGAAATCTATTAGAAATAATAGATTGTGGTTTTTGTTTGTTAATATTTCTGCTGTATTTTCTTTGTAGACAGTATGTGAAAATCTTTATCAATAAAAAAATTACACGATTGCTGAAAATTGCTATGCTCTAAAAGTAAATGGATGGATTGTTTACAATTTTTGAATGGAAAAAACAACCTTATCGAATTTTTCTTATGTAAACATATTGTAAAATATCCGATCCTGAAAATAAAAAAAAGTTTCAATATCTAAAGTGGTTCTTGAGTTATGGCCTGTAGGCCTGTTATGTTTTAAAAAGTTGAGTTTTTAAATTATCGCGATTACTGACGTTTTCCCGTTATAAGAAAATGACACCCTAACGATATCCTTATAATTCCATTTCAGATGCTTAGAAACATGTCTAATGACTTTATCTAGTTATCTCTTGAAAAAAAATTCTTTTAAAAATAAGCGGTTTGCGATCGTGATTTTACTTTACTTGATAGGGAAAGGCGTATCGGCAACGCCGCAACAGCACACCGTCGCGCGTCGCATTTCTCTCACTCCGACTTAATAAGATCCCTAAGCGATTTACTTCCACACATATAAATGCCGACCCAAAAGTAACAGTTGCCAGCACGGTATACCGGTTGTTTACGATTTTCTCCTATGTTGGCAGCACCGGCGGAGAATGCACCAACCTATAGGCTGTGTATGTAAGATTTAACATAATAGAAAATCATCAAAAAAACTCAAATCTTACTAAGAGTTCTTCGTTGTTAAGATTGTGCAAATTTAAAATCAGTTTCAATGGATTAATTAAATAATTACACACTGTTTTTTTAATTATTGATAATTCGATTAGCTTAAGACTAAGTTTCATCTTTATAATCATAATAATATTCTTTTTTTCAGAAATTGCCATGCTACTTCCAGGATCCTTGTCACAGAGCCGAATTGCTAACACCACAAGTGACATTAGGAAAAACTTAAGAGTCAGAGATCCGTCTGAAAATCCACAATATGATCCAAAGAAAACGTAAGTTCTTTTAATTGCATTATTTTATAATTTCTCAGATTGATATTGTTTTTAAAACTTATGCAACTGCTTATATTAAAAACACTACTTGTTATACAGACATCGTTTTTAAAAAGTATTACAACGTAGAATTAAGGAGTTATATCAAAATAAAAAAAAATAGTAATATATTATAATAATATGTTTAACCATATATTGAATACAATTACATCCATTTTTAGGGATGTGTAATGTGATTTTATTTCTAAATTCGAAATGAACTGGAAAAAAGGATGTACTTATGCAAAAAATCAGTTTGCGCTACACTATCCTGTGATATAAAAATTAATAACTGATAACCACTGTTTATTTAATACTAGCTGACCCTTTCTGTCTATTTTTGAGTGTCTGCATGATATGTACTGCGCCTATTCTCGTATACATGACAGTATTTATAACCAGCCCATCAACTGACAATCATTTGCATGGAAATTTTACCTAAATACTCGCTTATCTTATAAAGGGTGAGTCTTAAATAAGTGCAAATATTTTTAGGAGTATTTCGACTCCAGAAACACGATTGTGAGGTTTTTTGGCGATAAAAAAATGGGAAAATTTGGAATCATTTTAAAAAATTGTAAATTTTTTAGTTTTTAATTAAAAATCATAATTTCTTGATAATATGGCAACATAGGTAGTAGATTAAATTTATAAGAAAGAAAACCATTTCCAGTGATTCTCACACAGATTCAGTGGCTCTCAAAATTTAAGCAAAAGATATTTTTTTAATTTCCTAAGTAAAATAATTCGGTTATTTTGGACTTATTTATTTGGAAATGGGTAAAGAAAAAATATGTTTCTTTTATCGATATTTTCCAGACCTGAAAATATTTGCATTTATTTAAGATGCATCCTGTATAATCAGTCGGGTTCTGAGCTCCATTGAAAAAGGGTTTAAAAGAAACGATCGAAAGTGGCTCTCGATCTGACTGCTGGCAGGTATATGAGTATACCTGCAGCAGATGAAAGGCCAGATATTAAAAAATATACAATACGGTGACAAGCTGGTACCAAATAAGCTGTGCTTATTATATATACCAGTTTTTTATATTTAATTTTTTTAATGTTTGACAAAAAATGGAAATATTTATTTTATATCTCCAAGAAATAAACCAATACCGCCCTCGTTTTAAAAGCCTGTTGTAAATTAAGTTAGCAAACAAAGCCTCGCGAAAAAAAAAACGAAGAGGAAATGGGAAATTTAAAGCCAATAGCCGGAGCTTCTCTGTTGCTGCCCGGACTTTTTTACGAACGAATTTTCATCGCTCGATTAACTTTGCCTACCTATAAAAGAAAATTAATTACCGTTACTTGTAAATAAAGAAAAACAAAAGTTTCCAAGTATAATCCTTTGAAAGTTCGTTCTCGCTTTAATTGTTTTTTGTACTATGAACATTTTTCCGAAGAGTTTATTAAGGGCTTATGAAAAGAATACTTTTATTTTTAAATAATGGAGCTTTTTGTAAAACTACTCTTTTTGAACTGCTATTAAGCTTATTAATAAAAAAATAGTTAGTTACTAGAAAACATACACAGGGAGATGCAAAATCGGCGATAATACCATTAAAATTATTAATTGAAATTCAGCAATGAGAAAATATAAAAGTGAAGACAATTGAAGACTTGAAGTAAATAATGTCCTAAGTGCCAAAAAATCGTTTGTCATGTTTTATTTGTAAAATATAAAAAAATCCATAATCAACAACATATACAGGGTGAGTCTTAAATACTTGCAAATACACACAGCTCCAGCCGTCGCGATTGCGTCGGTCGCCTACAATAGTTACTGAAACTGTACGTAGCGTCGGGCGACGCACAGTGCTTCGAACATATGGCTCTAGAGGACAAAAATCCAAAACTTCTCTTTTATTGTAGGCAATTTATTCAAACTAGGTTTATTTGACACAAATGATGAGTACCTTCATTGTACTAAATGACGATGTTCTTAGTCCCACGTTTATGAAAAAAAAAATCTTATAAATAATAAAAATGTTGGAGCTGTGTTCCATCTAAGCAAATAATAATTTATAGTATGAAAACGGTGTAAGTATTAAATAAATCCCTGTGATAAAAAAGAATTGAAATAACATTAGAACATGATTCCTACAATATAAGCCTAATATAAGATAAAAATGTTTTTCTTTAATGAAAAAGAAACATTAATGTTATATTTAATTAAAAACAAACTTAAAATACTATTATAAATTTACTTTAGGACAACAAAATGCATAGATCGTAACTTCTCTGATTCAGAAGAATCACTGCTGACAGAATCTTCCAAATTTATAGTATCCAAATCACAGGTAGATGAAGTATCCTCACATATAAGATATTTCTGTACATAATTTTCTAATATGTTACTTTTTCGCGTTGTTACTGTTCTTTTTGTTGGTATGAGGGGTTCGGATGTTAGTAGTTACCTCTTTAATAGACCATATCCATATATTATTTTTTCCTTTTCGTGGGTATGAGGTTTTATAATAAATTGAAAGATGGAAACTTTTATTATGCGACGTTTCGCACCAACATAGTGGACTTTTTCAGGCACAAGTGGTGCTAATTTGACTGGAAGGTTCATCAATATTTAATAAAGAACACATTTTTTGAAATACAAATAATTTTGAGTTCTTGTCCTTATGATCAAGCCAAGTATTAACCAGATCGGCATTGCTTATCAATTTTACTCCATCTGAAAAGTATTATAAAATAAAGTTTGTCGCAAGCAGACGCAGGTGAACTATACAAAAATTAAAAGTGTATGGATATGACAACAAAAATATTCAATAAATACGATATGTTTTGATATGTTTTTTTTAAATGCCTTTTTGAAGTTTGAAAACGTAAAATTTTTATACCCATTTAAGAATCATCTTAAAAAAAATAAAAAACTAAACAATCACAAGCGAGTATATAAACGCTCAACTTGTAGATTGTACTTTAGTTTATAATCATCTGCTGATGATGCTAACATGGTTAGCGAAACGCGCGTCCAGTGTAAAAGTAAAATTGTTTTGGTGTATTGTGGTGATTTAGTGTTTTTATTTTGCTGTTTAACACCAAAGGTTCCAACCCTCAACTGTAAAATATTTGCTAACAAAAAACGCTGTTTATGAAAAATAATATACAGGATGGTTGAACATTGCTATAAGTATAAAATTACATATTCAGATATTAGTAAATTTTAACTATTTTTTTCGATTTTTGTCCATGGGACGAAGCACTGTGCGACGGCGCCGGCGACGTGTTCGCTCCAGCCGTCGCGCTCCTAGAGTTTTAGTTCCCTGTCGCGGACAGAAGTAACTGCTGTAACTGGCTATCGACGCTCGACCTCGGAGGCGACTTACTTCGTTCCAGCAGTCGCTGCAGCGCTTTTAAGGTATGATTCCGAAGACGGCAATAGCGACAAGCGACCGCGACAGACGACAGCGGCACCTGTCGTTACTGAGTTGCGCCTCCACCGATCTTTTAGAATCAAATGGAGTAACGTCGGAATCCGACGACAGGTGTCGCGCGACAGTTTTTATTCAACGTGTCGTCTAAGCGACCGACGACGCTACCGGTATTTGTCCAGTACTGTCGTGTCGTCATTCATATGCAAACGCAGATTTTTGACAAAAAATGGATTTTACCGCTGAATAAATGTTTTTTTATGAGTAAGGAATAACTTCCTTCCCTAGGTCTGTTTTTAAACAGAGGTAAAATGGGGTTTCTTCTTTTCTTTGCAACAAGTAACAATAATATTTCGTCCTCTTCATCATCTTCCATCAGTAATTCAAGTAACACATTTTTTTCAATCACGTAATTAGACCTATTTATTAATTATTATAACTATTTCGCGAACACTGACAACTACATCGTAGATCTCGCTCATATTGTCGCCGACATCGACAATGATATGACGACAGCGATAAGCGACACTGTCGCCTGTCGTCTGTCACGGTCGCTTGTCGCTGTCGCCGTCTTCGGAATCATACCTTTAGGGTTTCGTTTTCGCCTGTAGTGATTGGGTCGGTTAATATTAGCGTTGGTACTCCCGTCGCTACGTTACTTTTGAAATAGCGATTTTTGGTATGTACTAAGCATGGTATAAAATAGCGTTGTTTGAAAGATGAAGCGTAAAAGCAAATAAAATAAAATGAAAATTTTATTTGCTTATACATTTATATAAGTTTTATTGTTTATATCTATTTTTAAAGTCTAATTATGGCTGGAAATGCCGAAACCGGTCACCAATAAAGGTTTTTTTTGACAGTGGTTTGTGAGACTAGGTAGGTAGTATAAAATAAAAGTATAGGTACCAATGCTCGAAGTACTACATCAGCGAGGACCGCGACACTTAGGAAGTTGGAACCTCGATTACAAAATCGCGGTATTTTGTCGCGGTATTTTTCTGCAACGGTCGCTATTATAATGCGACTCATGTGAACCGGTATTCCAATCACTACCACTGATGAAAATTTTAAGGTACCCGTTTTTGATGCCTTTGATGTTTTTGATAATAGAAAATACTTGTATCGAAATAACGAAATATAAATATAATATAATGAACAAATGACAACTATAAAATCTTTTGGCTTCAATTATTCCAGATCAATCTGTCACCCCCATTACAAGATTGACAAAAAAACTCTGAGCCGGCTCAGCTAGATTATGATATAAAATATAAGAAATAGAGTGGTCCATTTGATATAATAGAAAAAAATAGATAAAAAATTAAGGTCCCAAACTGGTTCTCCCAAATCAATATAAAGTTAGAGCTGACCTGCCCGTATAAAATAGCTTTCGACAGTTTGCGAAAAAAAAACTCTGCTACAAAACGAGAAAAAAAAACGAACGTAAACTTTGTTAGAAGAACAGGGAGACTATAAAAAATTATGATGCCGGAGAGAGAATCCAAGTTCTTCGGAGTCCAGCAACGTTGCCAAATATAAATTCTCCAATAGAAAGGTGTAAAAGCCAGA